TTTCCCTTTTTAGGCTTCAACAAAACATGGGCGAGCTACAAATTGCAAAAGAAGTGTCAGATGACAAACAGAATAATCATACGGTACCATTACTCCAAAAAGGAAAGACAAACCAAAACAAAACCATTCATTGAAGTCATAATTCTGCCATGAGGAATCCGCAACTTTCGGATCTTGAGTACATTCAATGTTTTTCATTTGTCACTTGAGAAAGAAATAAATAAAACTATATGTAATCTTCAGGTTATCCTACTGATAAACCCACCATCCACAACCAAATTATGGCCGGTGACGAATTCAGAGTCGTCAGAAGCCAAAAAGACGACGCCGTCAGCTATATTCTCCACAGAGATCGTCTTCCCTACTTTCAACCTCAAACTTGACTCCACCAACATCCCCACATCCTCCTCCTCCGCCACCGCACCCGCCTTAAAACTCGACCGCAGCAGCGGCGTCGTCACGCTCCCTGGGGACACGCAGTTGACGCGTATCCCGTACGCGCCCAACTGCACACTCGCCGACCTCATCAGCCCCAAAACAGCGTGCTTCGACATTGTGTAGTCCGCGAACTTCGCCGACCCCATGCTCGCCGTCACGCTGGCCGTGCACACGATGCTCCCCCTCACGCCCCCCTCCACCATCGCCCTCGCCGCGTGCTTCACACTCGCCGCCATTCCGCGGGCGTTGACCGCCATGACCCTGTCGTACATGGCCAGGTCCAGCTCCAAAACGGTCTGCTCGCCGGCGCTGCCGACGCCAGCGTTGCTGAACATGATGTCGAGGCGGCCGTAAATCCTGACCGTCGATTCGATCAAGCTCTTGACCTGGTCCTCGTCGGTCACGTCGCAATGGATGTAGATGGAGCGGTCGGAACCGATCGATGCGGCGACGTTTTGGCCTTTCTCGTCCTGGACGTCCGCGATCACGACAGCCCGCACCCCGTGCAAGGCGAATTTGCGCGCGGTGCCTTCGCCGATGCCGCTGGCGCCGCCGGTGACGATCGCGACCTTGCCTTGAAGCTTTTTGTTGGTAATTTCTTTCGGATCCGCCATTTTCTTTAATTATATGGATTATGATTAATTTGCTGCAAATTAAGCAAATTAAGAGACGCTGCTTAGCTTAATTAGAGCATCAATTTTATAACTAATTTGAAAGTTCAACAATGAAGCAGATGATGATTTCAGATACAAGCTATTTTACTTACTTGCAGTATTTTTGAGCGGCTGCTTGGCGACATAAAATATAGTTTCTTACTGCGACGACTTGAAGACCTCCAAAACCATCTACTCGTATTGCGTGACTTTTACTTGGCCACGTCATCAAGAGAGGTTGGGCTACTGCTGCCAGCCATTCCTCATGCCTCACCACTGCTCAGAAAAACTATGGGCTGCCGAAGTTATTAAGTATGGCATATCGTAATTGGCCGGATATAACGCAAATGTTATATCCATTTTACCTGAAAAACTTACTTGTAATGGGATGGTACTATTTTGTTATACCAAATTAATAATATATGGGAAATGCTAGAAATCTTCTCTCTAACTTTCTCTTTTGTACCTTCTCCCTTTTTTGCTTAACATATGTCATTCTCCTTACATTTAAAACAATGTCATTAACATATTATACAAGTTAACTTTTACTTTCCAAGTTTACCTTTATTAAATGTATTCAATTTATCCCAAAATATTTCACAACTTTCTCACCTTTTTTTTTTAACGTCAATTTTTTTTTAATTTAAGAAAATGTATGCTTTTCAAAAAAAGAGGAAATGTCCCTTTTTTTGTAACATCAAGTTTAGACTTTTTTTTTTATTAAAAAAAGAAAAGAAAAAAGAGGACATTTCCTCTTGTTTTTTTTTTTTAAAACAAACATTTTATTTTTAAAAAAAAATTAATAAGATGGTAAGAAAGTTGTGAATTTTTTTTGGATAAATTGAATACATTTAATAATGGTAAACTTGGAAAGCAAAAGTTAGCTTGTATAATACATTAATGACATTGTTTTAAGTGTAAAGAGAATGACACATGTCAAGCAAAAAAGGAAGAATGTCCAAAGGAAAATGTTAAAGAGAAGGTTGCTAGCATTCCTCATAATATAATGACACGTGAAAAAGTTATCTTACGTATCATTGTGTTATTGGTCAAAAATAGCAAAAAATGTTATCCTCGATACATGAAAGTCTTTCTCCCATTTCACACAAGTGTTTCTCCGTACTACATGATTTTGGAAAGAATACAAGGTGTGTGTGCTACACTTTATTTGATTGAAAGACACATATTGAGAGTAATGGAGAAATAGATCATAATGTTGTGAGTGAAGTTTGGGTGTATTTCGGGATTGGGGTTTCTTAAGTGATTAAGCACTTTTATAATGGATTGCTGTGTTCTAAGGCCATCTCCAACCCAAGGGGTGGAAATCCAAATTTTCAGTTTTGAGTCCAAAATTCTTCTCCAACCCATGTATTTTGGGGGGTGGAAATTTGAGACATGTCAAATTTGGGGTGGAATTCCAGTCCAAGTTTTGCATGGACTGGTATTTTATGTGGAGCCCAATAGTCAGTTGTGTAGCCCATGTGAAAGGAGAAAAAAAGCAGGCCCTGTGTTGCAGATTGATGTCGACCACTCACCTCCTTTTCATGTGACAAGTGTCATGGCACATGAATGAGGCGTTGAAATCCAATGACTCCATTTTGAAAGCTCCAGATCCTTTGAAAAAAAACAAATACCAACAGCTATTCCAAAGAAGTTGATGTTTCCCATTTTATTTTATTTTTAATTCCAACATCTATATATAATCAATGGCCACGGTTATTTTAAATCCAATGGTCAAATAATTTTTATAATTAATCTAAATTAGATCTAAAATCAAAACACATCCCAAACTCTATAAATATCCATCTTTTTGTTATACTTGCTTTTATTCTTTAAGTAAAATTATTTTTGAATTTTTTTAGATCAAAATGTTCACAAAATTAAATCATGAATGTTGAAACAAAAATAATGTCAAGAAAAATTAACGATAAAAAAAATTAGGGATTAACCATTCTTAAACAATTTAATAAAGTTGCGGACTCAAATTATAAGTCTGCAAGGTTGGATGAAAAAACAATTTGAGTCCTAAAAATACATAAACAGTTATATTTTAGAGGGTGAAAATTTGAGTTTAGTCTCAATATGGTTGGAGATGGTCTAAGACAATACAAATTGGAATCCAAGTTTCATTTACAGTTATGCAAGTATAATATAACAAAGAAGAAACTTTATCACATAGAAAAAGTCTTGATTGCATGACAATAAACCATATAACTTTGTCAACATGGAAAGGCGATACCATTCAAGCCCAGCCGATGAATGGTCGAAAACGCATTTCACGACACTATTGCAATTATGAATCAATTGCATCTGCTATACTTTCTAGGACTACATTCAAATTAAGCCTACAAGTCAACAAGGGAGAAATTGATTAAATTTTGGCTTGACGGATATACTGCCCGCCACGTGTTGTGCATCAGTCGCTCAAGTTATAACATATGTATCTATTTATTAATGTCATACTTCAAGTCCATGAGATATGAATTATATCACCACCTGTATTATAACACGTAGATTAACACAACCCACCTATATAATAAAAGCAATGTTCCCAAAACGGCCATGAAATCCAACAAAAGAAAAAGTTCAGAACCTAGGAATTAATTCAGATTGCCAAAAAAAACAAATGCCACTTTTATCATCAGGAGAGAAAAGAAGAACATGAATAATTAAATACTTGAAGCACTATGAGCATCATGCTGGAACAGAAGACTCTGCTGGTGGGTCATTCTAGGAAAATTGTCTAACCTGCAACAAACAGGTGAAACATGGTTGAAAAACAAGATCTTCTCTTCTGTTGAACATTAACATTTGCGCAGTAGGAGGAAACCACATGATATGGATTTGTGTCCTCCACCCAATACATAAATGGCACCTCAAAGTTTATGCTGATCACATGCATTCACCACTACATAATCTAATTGTATGTGCATCTTGCTCCTCTGCCTCTACCTCTCACACCAGCTGCTGGTGTTGATTTAGTTTATAAATATATTTGTTCATTGTTGCCACTACTACGGTTGCAAGAGGCTTGTAGCTTAAGTGGTTAAGAGTCGTAATCCATGTACCTGAGGTCAATGTTTGAATCCCCTCTGCCCCAGTATCGCTTGTATATATAAAAAAACAAAACAAAATAAAAAAAAACATGCATTTTCCTTTCTCTCTTCTTTTGCACACCTAAGCTGCCCAACTGCATTGGGCCGGTGGACTTTGCACGATTATCCTAAATTCAAATGCTCATAACGAATAAGCGTAGATCAAATCACGCTTGATCACTCCACCTATTAAGTAGTTTATGGCTAGGCATGGGTGATGAGAATTAAAATCGGTCAATGACACGCATTGATGGAGCAATCGGGCTCACTCGCATCATAATAAATAGACAAGACCTCAAGTCATGGAAGGGAATATGACCTGAGTCCAAGAGAGTTCTTATTTCTTTTCGTGTAACTTAAGCATCAGAGTTCTTTTGCTTACATTAGAATGGTATGCAAAGGACTCAGTCGTTTCTATCTTTGGTTTCAAGTCACACGACATTTTACATAACTTATGGAATTTGTATCCACAGCAAGTACAGCAAGTATTCCATGAATCACATCACAACATTAATTTGGAGACCAAAAAGATAAGATGCTTCATCATTGGTCTCTTGTGAATAAAGATTATTTCCCATCATGAATTCTTCACCATACTTCCATTCAAAAGTAAACCCTTCAAAATTAAATCATCATCAATATTGCCTAGCATGCTCCTAATTAGAGACCACTATTATAATTTGTATGAGAAGATCATATTGAAGTGAAGGCCGTCTATGTAAATCATTAAGCACCCGAAAGATCTTCCTAATCACAAATTAAACAGATCGATCCATATATAAATTCATGGTCAAATATAAGCACCAAAAAAACAAACAACAGAGTACGCAGAAACAGAGAAATTAATCAAACTATACCTGAAAACAAAGAAAACCGATGGATGGATGGAATTTCCGAAATGAATTAACTAGCTGGGGATTGTCTAAGACCAAGAATTATCAAAAGCAGCAGAAGTAATGGCATGAGCAAACTCCTGGAAATCGATCCTGCCATCCCCATCAGTATCAGCCTCCCTGATCATCCCAGTCAACTCCTCAGCCGTAAGAGCATGTCCAAGTTTAGCCATGGAGTGAGCCAGCTCGGCAGCTGTGATGAATCCGTTGCCGTCCCGGTCAAACATCCGAAACAGCTGCCTCAGCTGGTCCTCCGTGTAAGGAGACTTGGCCGACAAAAGCTCAGGGGCTACGAGAGCTACAAACTCCGAAAACTCCACTAGGCCATTGCTGTTGGTGTCCGCCTTCTGGATCAAGGTATCCAGCTGATCAGGCCCTGGCTTCAGCCCCAGTGAGCGCAGAAGCGACCCCAGCTCCAGCTGTGTTAGGCTTCCGTCGTTGTTTCGATCAAACGACCGGAATATTTCACGCAGGTCCGCGATTTGCTCGTCGTCTAGCTTCACTGGCTGCTTGTTGCTCATCAGGACGACCAAAAGCTTAAAAAGTTTCTCTAACTTTATTCTCCGACTCGAAGATGAATATGTATGATGGTTATGATCCTTTTGTTTCTATTTTGACCTATGAGGAGTGTCCACGTACGACATTAGAAAACAATGCCCAAGAAGAATAAAGGACAGGAAAATTTCATACACGCAAATGGGAATGAGATCAAATTGTACTTCTCTGTTCTTGATGATTTGTGGTTAGTCAGTTGAGAATTCAAGTTTTGGGTTCGGATCGAAATTGAAGAAGACGACGATGATCTGAGCTAAGCTTCAAAGATCCATGTTTAATGAGAATGTGGGATGAGATTAGAGAGTCTGAGGAGGGAGGGTGGAAGCTTCAAAGATCCAATCCAACATCTCCTTCCATGTCCTACTCAATTCCTCCTCTTTCGGTGGATCCTCCGAATCAATTGCCCTTCAGTCTTGACCCAAATATCGGATCCGATATTTGAATGGCGATCACAATCACACACACAACACAGCGTTGAAATCTCAAAGATGATGATGATGTTTGTTGGTGGATCAAATAATAAGGTCAAGGTGGTAGGAATTTGAGTTTCGATCATGTGATTAAATTATTATTAATTCCTTTTTATTTTTCTTGAGAATTGTGAGCGTTGGATTGATGGGGATCTAACGCGAGAAATTGAGGTGAAAGACGCGGGAATTATGTGACAGGTGCCCGCGCTCGCACGTCTTTCTTTGCTGTCAACGGCTTTTTAAACAAGTGGAGTTTTTGTGTGCCTTTTGCTTCTTTGAAGAATGGTTCACTCGCCACTTGGAAGCCAATGAGCTTTTGCCACGTCATGGTACGGATGCATTTGTTATTTGCGGAATTTGTGTTTTGATTGTGATGATGGCATGCATTGCTTCGGTAGGTTACAGGTTGGAAATGGTGGGGAGAGGGGCAATGGAATGTTGTGTAATTGATCAGATGGGAGTGGGGCATTTCTAAAGACCAAGGACGGCGGTGTTGGTGCCTGCTTCATTTATCTGGGTTGACCTAAAATTCATTATTATTTTTTAACAAGCAATTCAGGTGAAGGAATAAATACTCTTCACCGCTTGAGCTACCTTTTGCTAATTTGCTAATGTTTTATAAACAATGTTGGGGTATGGATTTTTGGACCTCATATCTTCTGAAAATAATATGCAAAATTAATAAACCTCAAAGATGAGGAGCCTTAGTGTGCTGCTGGCAGATAACTCTCCAACACTGAAGTTAGTATAATTGGGAAGTTTTGAGCTTATTCATATTAGCATTTGAAGCATTATTGCAAACCTATTTATAATCCCAATTAAAGACAAAATAGTGTTTCTTTTTCAATCAAGTCAAAATAGTTTGAACCGTGGTTGATGTAAAAGAAACTGCGGACCAAATGTCGTGCTTGTGAAGAGCATAAATTGCTTCATTCCTGGCAGCTTGGCATACCAAAAACTTTGCAGCAACCAGTTATACAAGTCCGAAGTTCAACTCTATGATAAGAACAAAGGCCCTGTTCATAGTGAATATTGATTCTCATCTTGTGGTCATCGGACATTTGTAGGTCAGCTTGTAATGCTTGGGGATCAAAATGGGAATACACAGGACTCAACCCTGCAGGGAGTGATGCAGGGACTGGCGAGATTTTTTTTAAAAAAAAAATTTAATACAAGCGATATTGGTGGAAATGGGACCTAAAATCTAAACACTCAAAAGGTACTTCAAAAGGAAGTGGTTCTGATTATATTCACTTTTATTTGATGTGGCAGAGGGCATAAAGATATGCATTATTTTGCCTACGAGGAGAAAATCAACCGCCCTACTTGCATGTGCAAAAGACAGAGCAAGCTGCCTCTGAGACTAATTGCAGACCTACCAAAAGCAGGTTTAATTTTCTAGAAACGGATTAGTATTGGGTTTTATCATATTTAATGAATTAGTCAGCTAGAGACCAGAGTATATGACTTTGTTGATCCTAGTTTTCTGTAAATGATATACATATGCATATATATGCCAATCCAAGCATACAGGCTCAAAGGTTTATAAAGAAAGACTAAGACAGAGTTGGATGAGATTTTGGACTCTTAAACCTGCAGGCCTACCTAGGCAGTCTAATTAGTGTTGTAATCTTAGAAATATGGAAGAACTATCACATATCTGAATGTCAAATGAACACTTAATCACAATTATGGAGATAAAAGAAACAAAAAAGGGTAGAAAGGTGAATTAGAAATGATACAGACAAACAAGTAATGTAATCTGCTCCATTTCAGAAAATGACTATAAAAATCTATACTCTGATTCACCTCGAAAGAAAAGCTCACCCTTGCGCGATCACAATCCTTTGTATCATGCTTTCTTCTTTTTGGATTTGAGCATCACATATCCAATGAAAATGCATAAGAAGCACAGAAGCACCATGCCAGCAAACACAGGTATTAATATGGCATATTCTTGGGGCAGGAAATACCGGTGGATAAAGTGATCACTGTTTACAAACGGCTGAAACACAACGAGAGTAAATATCAACAGCGGGTTAATATAAGTGTGAGAAGCATTTGAGAAAGAAGTAGCGAAGCAAGGCAGGTAATTAACTGACCAGGATTATGACCCAAAATGTGTAATAAGTGAATATAGATAAACTGATATAGGATAACAGAAACCCAACGGCCTTGTCTGCCAATTCCATTGTGATGTCTGTGGCTTCTGCTACCTGCAATTACAAGGAGGATGTGGATCAGCAACTTCATATGAAGTAGCGAACAGTTTCAACAAACAAGTACAAGTGCAGGAACATGTATCACATCATTATACAGGGAAACCACCTTGAAATTGTATCTAAACCCGGTGGATAGTTTTTGTACTTTCAAGGGAACCATATACCACCACCAAAACCAGTAGCATTTCAAACCAACAACATGCTATCTCCATAAGCAGTAGCAAATCAGATTTACAAGAGATCCATATAGTTCTGACTGATTCTAAGCAACCAAAGCATTTGGTTTTAAATACGAAAAATATGAAAGGAAGGGTGCATGAAAAATACAACAATTATGCAACCAAAGCATTTGGTTTTATAACATGAAAAATATGAAAGGAAGGGTGCATGAAAAATACAAAATAATAAACCATCTAAAGTAGCAATCAACAAAAAATTTTGAGCAGCAACTTAACAAAACCCCCCAGGTTCAAAGAGAACCCACCATCAATACCAAGCACCATTAGGTTTTAGGCATCTTGTTCAAAGATGCAATCTTTTGAACCATATTGACCAAAATCATAAAGGGCATCACCTAAACTAAAAATTCAATGAGATACACAAATGCACACACACATAATTGAAAAATCAAACATGGAGTAATTGGATTTGCTTTCCATAGCAAACAAAAACCTTAATTGGTGCTGCAGATTGGGCATTGGATTATGATATTGACCCTTCCAATGCCGAACGAACCCAATTCGAAATTTGGGATTTCAAGTTTTCAATTTCTTTTCCTACACTGTCACAATCAAATTTACTTACCCGAGACAAAGTCCTTCTTTCAACCTCAACGACGATCGCTATCAGGCCAATTTCGATTTCCCTCTCTCTCTCTCTCACTGTCTGCAAGCCCTAATCGTAAACAAAGAGATATTGAAGGACGACGACTGGCGCGTTCAGAACAGAAGAGAGACCATGCATGCCCCCGGCTTAATATGTCTCTTTTTGAAAAATTCTTTTGGACTTAACTATTCCAAACATAAAGCCCATGATCAGCACCCTTGAAGGAAAGCCCAAAACATTATTCATAAGTATTTTTCGACCGGAAAAAAATAGTCACGACCTGTGAAAACTTATTTGAAGAACACCAGTGTAGAACCACTCACATCCCTAAAACACCTAAAATGGGGGTTGAAATTATAAAAAAACTTAAGCACTATTTAAACATATAAACACACCCAAAACTCATCATTACACACACTCAAAACCCATTTATAAACACACCCAAAAAGTTGACTTTGGGGTTGATTTTGAGTGTGTTTCTATGTTTAAATAGTGCTTGGGTTTTTTTATAAATACATGTCTAGGATTGGGTTTATTTATAAATTTGTATTAAAATTAAATATGGCTGCAGGAATTGGTGCATTGCCTCTCCTGTCGATCATTATCTTCATGGTTTCTACCTGTGGCTCGAGGAGCTTCATTATGAGTGCGGGTTTTAAGCTTTTCTTATTTCAACCTTGTTCAACTTCATAAACTATACTGAAATTTTCTCAAACATTTGAAGTGGCTAAAGATGGACCTCCATTTTTAATCTTGGAAAAATAATATCCTAAACTACTCTAGTCTATTGAATGGAGGATCGAACTCGGATGTAATAAGACGAGCACACATACCTTAACCAACTGACCTAGCCACGTCTCCATTTTCAATCTCTAACCTGACTCTTTTCATCTCAGTCCATTAATTTGTTGACTAATCACAAATTGGTGAACGAGGGTTGCGAGACAATTTCAGTACACAAAAACATGTGAATTTTGTGTACAAGCTCCAACTTCAAAACTAGCTGAGCATCACATTCATATCATATATCAGTTTGATAAACATGTTGTGATCCATTAGAATTTTCACATTTTGAAGCAGCGACATCTTTGGCCAAATTACGGCGAGAACTGATTACAAAGCAATAATCAGGATTTAAAATCCCCGTAATTTAATTACAAAACTGTCTGATGTCACAAGCCACTACAGCTTCCCAAAAAGAACAAAGAACAACAGACAAAACAAAGAGTATCATATAATTGTCCCAGAAAAAGAAAACAAAACAAATACACTTCTCTGAACGCAGATTTTGAAAAACAGCAGTCAACCCCAGAGGAACTGTATTGCATCCAACATCCTCAAAACCTATCTGCTCCTTAATTTGATCCCACATTGTCTGGCTCCTAAAGAAACACATAGGGGTACATATTTCCCCATCATTTTTGCAGCATCCACTGCATTATATCTTTCCGTATAACTCCCCCAAACGCACCTGCACTGTAGTTCGATCTTAACGGTTGAGGCACATTCATGCATAAGTGCCTGTACTGGTTTATCATCCCAGAAGGCTTTCGTGATCTCATCATCATTGTAATTGGAGGAAGGGGTTTAGACCACATATTGGTCATTGTTGAAAACAGATGCCTGTCGGATTCCTGATTTCTAGTTATCTGGCTACTTCCAGGAGTTTTGAGGTGGGAGGAGTTTACCTTATTCATCATGCTAGCACTGGTGGGGGGTTTTTCCAGGGGACCCCGAATCTGAGCTTCGGGTTTCATCCGATCAAGCCATCGTAGGATCCGGTTACCAAGATTTCGACCAACTTCTATGTCTCTTTCCTGTATGCTCTTGTGAACCTTGATAGCTACATCAAACACAGCACGTGTTCGCCTTTGAATGAAAGAAAACACAATGGCCGTAGCAGTTATAAACTAATACAAAAAACAAATGATTAATAGTCATTAATTTAACGAAGTATTGCAGTATCACAGGAAACAAGTAAAATTGGATCGTAGCAACAAACAAACTGCAGTGATGGTGGCCCTCGAATCCTACCGATGATTAAACACATCTGATAGTTTGAATGCTAAATATGTTCAGATGAGCTATGAATTTGTGCTAAATATTCAAATAAAAACGTCCAGGATAATAATCAAATGTTTACCTAATCCAGGAAGAACACATTACATGAAGATTGCAAGAGACAAATGAGAACTGTGAAGGGGTTTGGAGATGTCAGCAACAACAAATTGCAGAGTTTGATGCAACGAAACTTATGCGTAATGTTAAGTATTTACCCAACAGAAATATCTTAACACTGAAAAAATGGGGAAATCACTGGCCATTCAGAGCTAATTTCATATAAGGAAATTGAAAACATCAAAGAAAATAAGATCTGAGAAACATTCAACAAATTATATATTATTAAGATTACAAAAATTCCTAAACCACGAAGAAGAAAGAGCACACATACATTTTAATGAGACTGATGCAAAACATGCATTAAACGAATTTTATGGATGCAAAGATAAAGGAAAGAAAAATCATGCAAAATAAACCAAAAATTATATTCATATTGAGAGGAAATTCTAGAATTATTGATTTGATTAAATACATCAAACTCTTCCCAAATCACATCTATTTCAAAGAGAAATTAAAGGAAAGAAAAAAGAGAGAAAACAAATACCTGTGAGCAAATTGACGGATCTTGGGGTGCTTAGGGCTTATGAGGCGTCGCTGAATCTTCAGAGCCAGTCTATAAGTGCGCCTCAGCCCCAAGAAATAGGCTGTTCCTAATGTGATCTCCCACAGTACCATTCTTCGTTCCTTTCTTCCTTCCTTCGTTTTCGCTTTGTGCGTAGCTTGTGTTTGTGCTATTGTCTCAAAGAACTTTTTCTTATTATGGTTTTGTTTTTAGGTTTTCGTTTCTCGCAAGCTTTCCACGGGCCGCCAGAAATTTCGATCCTCGTCAACAACATTCTCAGTTTCCCTCTGCTTCGCGTCACCGATCAAAGGGTCATCGTGTACGTGGGGATACTCAAGTTGATCTCAACCGTTCGTTGGTGTTGATGAAGTCAGTAAGGCTGGGCTCTTTTCTACATAAAGGCCCAAACCAGTAGAGTTTTAAGTCTGGATTGAAATTTCAGGCCCAACGTATTGAGAAAAATAAAAAATGCATCACAATAGGGAAAACAGTTTGTGGCTCGGGTCTCAATCCCAGCCAACTCACGAGTCATTTTATTTTGAGTGCTATATATGGACTATAGATGTGGTCCTTCATATTAGCAACATGATTCATCTGAATAGTAACTTCACTTAAGTTCAATGAAATTATCATGCGACTAATATGAAGGTCCACATAAGAGCAATTCCAGCCGATTGCCCTTGCCAGGGCAAGAGGGGGCCCTGGCCCCAAATTCGTCTTCCAATGGGCTGAAGCTGCCAGGGCAATTGTTGGGGCCCAAGAAACTAGGCCAGCCCTCAAGCAAAAAGAGCTCGTGCTCTAGCCTGGGTTTGCTGACGTAAGCGATGACGTTGGTAACAAAAAAAAAAATCTACAAAAAATTTCGTCATATTCTTCAATTCCCACATCAAAACTCTATATAAATTCATATCCTCATATCTCATATGAATAGTGTCTATCATGGCAATGGGTGGAAACAACACAACCTTTTATTAGGGTTGCCACTATTCACATGAATAGTAACAACGCTTGCCCTTATCCTTTGCCATGTCAAATGAGTGGAAGTGCTCTAAAGAGTCCATATAGGATACCCTAACTATAGAATTTCACGCCAACTCACCTTTTTAAGTAAATCGAGTCCTAGTCCACTCAACTACTTACACCCTAGGCCAAATTGCTTTGTTTTGGCCCAGTCTACAATAATATTGAGTTAGGAGATTACATACAGAGGATCTTGAGTGTGGCATAAGCGTAATTGTTCTTAATCACATGAGTTACAAATTTCTTGCTTTTGTCAAAATATTACTTTACAAGAAAGAATTTATTGCTAATGTGGGTTAGGTTAGTTGGCAAAAGTAGGGAGTCCACCCCTTGCACCTAAGTTCTAATCCCTCTCATAGTAAATTAGAATTATTTTAAGTATTTCAAGTTATTGTATTTACTTATGCATCTAAGTATTAGGTTCAATTCTCCTCTCCCCAATATCATTTATATATATATATAACTATTTAAAAAAATGATTGATTTGAAAAAGAAAAAGAAAGAAATTTTATCCACAATGTCTTTATTTTTTGTATTTTTAAAAAAGCAACAAATAGAAACAAAAAGAAAAATAAAGTTCCTATTTAAAAATCCCAGATTCGAGTCATACAGCTCACTAATAATTTCTTTCCCTTTTTTCACCCACTCTCTCTATCTGTCTCTCTCTCTCTCTCGTTTTCTCTTTGTCCTTCTCTGTGTATTCAAGTCTGTGACCATGCAAAGACAATCACTGGGGGGCTCACCGGGCTCCAAGCTCCACCAGGCCCATGGCGGAGCCAAGGAACAGGCTCTGCTCCTAGACGACGCTCCCAACCGCAGTAACAAGGACCTTTTAGTCTTTTCCTCCTCCACCTCCTCTTCAATCTCCGCAGACGACGACCACAAAGCATCAAAGCCTCATCGCCCGTCATCACCGCCCCCCACCGCTCCACACAAATCCATTCACGTCATCCCCGTCCTCACCCTCCTCTGCTTCCTTATCCTCTTCCTCTTCTCCCATAGCCCCTCCCAATCAGGTAACTCTCAATCAACGGCTCTTAACTCATCTCGTTTTTTTTAATCTTCATTCCTGACCGTCGGTTTCGTTTCCGTTTCAGATTTGGCTCAGTTCAATGGCTTTACGAAACTACCAGGGAAAAAGCGCGCAGGTACAATGCAGATAATTAATCGTTCTCAATGCAGATATTTTTTGCGTTTTTAAATTTTATTTTCTGTTTTCTTTCCGTGCTTTTCGTTTTTGTAGACTCCACCGACAACGAAATCGGCGACCTGAGCCGATTTATTCAGGAACTTGCAGGACACCCAAGGAACCCGAAAACTCCCCCCGAGATCTCGCTCCCACCGGAAAATAGCCGATTTTTAAGCCGCATTCCCTGCTCCTCTTCTCTACTCTACTCTACTCTACTATGTCCTCATCGGCTCTCCGTGAAAGAACTCGCACGTGCGTCACCGTCAGCTTTTTTTTCGCACGTGTAAATTCAATTGCGGAGCAAGATCTTTTTCTTTTCTTTTTTGGTTTAAATTTATTTTAATTTTTTGTGTAAACATATTACTTCAGCGCTTCAGCGCTTAGACAAAGATTTCGAACAGCGAAATAACGTAATTCTTACAGATCTTTTTGTTTTTATAAATTTCGTGTGTGTCGTACGCTAAAGTGAGCGGGTAGGGAGGCGTTAATTAGATGAAGGGACGTAAACGTGCGCCCGATGGGATACAGCTGGATTTTCGTCACCGTCAGCTTTTTTTTCGCACGTGTAAATTCAATTGCGGAGCAAGATCTTTTTCTTTTCTTTTTTGGTTTAAATTTATTTTAATTTTTTGTGTAAACATATTACTTCAGCGCTTCAGCGCTTAGACAAAGATTTCGAACAGCGAAATAACGTAATTCTTACAGATCTTTTTGTTTTTATAAATTTCGTGTGTGTCGTACGCTAAAGTGAGCGGGTAGGGAGGCGTTAATTAGATGAAGGGACGTAAACGTGCGCCCGATGGGATACAGCTGGATTTTCGTACTCGACCGTTGCTCTGCACCCTCGGGTTTCGGTCGGAATTTGCTAGCTGGAAAATTGAAGGAGAAGATACGTTAACTGCGTTCTGTGTCACCGCTGGTGTATAGATTTTTCTGTGGTGTTGGCTTCTCCTGCTTACACGTGGATAGCAAAAACGTTAAAGTTGTCACTATGTGGACTCTTTTTAAAACTTTTTTAATTTATATAGCTTTCATTTTTTTTAAATGATTGATATTTTATTCTAAGGGGAGGGGGTGCCCCCACAAGGGGATTTGACCTGGTGCATGGGGTTGCAAACAAAGACCTCACCAATGTCGTCACTTTAGTACACTGAATTCAATAATTGCTATTTTAATTCTTGGGATTTTTTTGTAGAAAATGTTCATGAACTTACACCTCAGCTTAATTTTGTTAAAAAAAAATTTAAGAGAAATGTCATCGTAATTTTCAAAATCCATGATTTGTCATTTGACTTTAACAACATTTAATTTTCCATCAATTTTAAGGGTATTTTAGTCTTTTCATATTTAAGGAAAAAAAAGAGAAAAAATATATCTCTCTCTTCCTTTCTCCCCTATCCCAACACCACCCGCCCCTAAAACACATTGCATTGGACCCCACTTGTTTCTAAAACACATCGGAGAGGGAATAGAAAGACTAAAATACCCTTTAAAATGAATGAAAAATTGGATAGTGTTAAAGTCATATGACAAATCATGGATTTTAAAAAATTAAAGAGACATTTCTCTTACATTTTTCTTTAAAGTGACAAATTGAAACTTAGATATAAGTTCCAGTGACATTTCTACAAAAGTCTTTTTAATTCTCCAAAGTGTAGGTATGCTAGCATGCATTACCGCTAAGTATTAAATTATTGAGTTTGATTTTGATACACGTGTAAATAACTTTTTTTATGATTGTAAAATAAATTTAAAAAAAATCACTTAATAATATAATTCAAAAATTCAATATAGCCTTTTTAATGCATAGGGTGAAATGCGTTTTGCTTTTTACCCCAAAAAATGGTTGTTACATTTTTATTGTGGTATATTTTTTAGAATTATAAATTTAGAGTGGTGATTTCCCAATTTATACATTTTAAATTATATCAAGTTAACTAATATTAGTTAAATTAAAATATAAAAAAAGGAAGGCCGAGCCTAGTAGCGTGAGCTTGTAACTAAGCAGAGCATTAAAGTAATTGGTTGTTTGAAACCTTTTCAAATGAGGCATATGTGGTGGTTTTGGGTTGTTCACCTTGGTGGTGGTGGTGAAGTTGCACAAAACACTTCCCCTACCCTCCAAGTTAGTAGGGCCAACCATAAAGGTGGGTAGCAAACCGAAAAAAGAAAATGAAGGGAAATACTTGTAGGTGAAAAAGAAAGGTAATCTTGATAATTTTTGCGCCCACATGCATTTTTCTCTCTTGCTTTTCTTTTATGGAGTTGACCTCAATGGATTGTAAAATTGGATGCAAAAGTGCATCAAATTTCACATCTCCAGCCAATAGCGTATATATATACTCTCATTTACCTCACCATTAGAGAAATTTCTATTAGATAGGGGCGTAAATGTAGCACGCACTGCCCCTTATACCCCGACAATGAAGTTGCTCTAACTAAGTCACTATTTCTAGGTGTATGTACCTATTGAAATTGAATTGAATTGACCATGTTGTTTCAGTAAGGATTCAATGAGCATGAACTCATTAGGGGTTTGCATCGGTTATAATTCAACCTATTTTTAGAAATCCTTATCCATATTAGAATCCAATCTCATCATTTTTTTTTTCACAAGTGAAATTGGGAGAAGGGAGATTCAAACACAATATCTCAAGTGCAGAAGTAACTGCTCTTAACCATTTGATTTGCAGGCCCTTTGCAAATCCAAATTAATCTAACCTCTTTCGAGGAATCCATCTCTAATTCAATTACAATGGGTTTGCCACATTCGTCGTCTTTTGGTCCACGCATACAAAGAAGATGTCGGGTTTGGAATTAGCCGGTGTGTTACTATGGGTTTAACTTGTATGACGCTATTGCTCTCTTCGGGTTGTCGTGGAGGATGTGGAGCGGTGCTTATGCTTCTTAGATTGTTTATGTGTTGTGGTTTTGCCTTATTTTTAGGTTTTTTTATTTCTATTTGGCTTCGGCTTTCGATATAGATTTGTCGTTTTTGCTGTTGCACGGCTGATCAGTATTAGAGGTTTGAGTACACATGCTTCTAGTTGTTGAACCGGGGATTTTATTTATCTTTGGTCACTGAAGAATATTTATTCATATTCGGCACATCGTTGCTTTGTACTTTTGTTTATTTATCAATAAAATACTATTTCTTATTCTACCCAAAAAATATATATTATATTTTGAGGAATCCATATCTAATTCAATTAAAATGAACCAATTAAGAATGCTTGGCTCTCACGCTCAATTTTTTCAATTACTTATGGGAATTCCCATAATATTTTTTTTTAATGTAATATCCTCTCTTCTGGAGGGAATTTACTATTTGATGTGATTAACTGCAAGTGGACAATATCACTCAAATTAGTATAGTAGTAAATAGAGTATCATTCTAATAGGGATCAATTTAATCTATTGAATACTAGAGTGATTTATTTATAATTATATTTGAATTAAACGATAATAGAATTATGATGATTAAAATCTAATTAAGCAAGTGAAATAAATTGAGATTAAGCAAATAATGTAAAAGACGAAAACAAAAATGATAAAGCACTAGGGCACCGATTTCACCTAGCTAATCCCACCTAAATCCTTCTAGTTTGTTAATCCTAATTACCTAACATGTTGATAATTATTTTCCCTTACCACACCAATACTCTCTTCCGAGTTATATTAGTTGTATTCATTACCATCAACCCACTCTATTCCTAGTTATGGATTTAGATAGCTAAGAACCCATTAAAATTTGTGGAAAACATTGAAGATTACACAAACCATAACCTAATCTTCCGAGTCGGCTATGTAATTTATGGTACTTGTTACAAGAAGGTTTTTACTAGGAATCTCCTTCCAGTCTCAACCTAATTCTTTCAATCATGCAATTAGTGGCCAATTAATTGAAAACATTAAGAACGGTAACAAACACTCAACATGTATAAATGAATAAAATTAACAATATCAAAGAATTTGAGTATTCATAGCTAGGCTACATCATAACCCTAGTAAAAGAAATTAGTTCATGAAAGACTTATTGATAATCATGATGGTTGATGAAGACATGGAAGTCACCGAATTCTCCAAGTAGAATGCCAAGAGATGCGAGAACAATATATATTTGTGATAATTTTGATACTTAATTGTGGCTACTTACATTCTAATGTTGCATTGTTTTTTAGAACATTTTCTATTGAGAGGAGCAATAATATACTAAACTCACACACACTACACAGATGTTAGGACTCGAACCCAGGACTTTGCTTGAGGAAGCAATTACTCCAAACCACTACATTAGTGGGTCCTTTGCTATTGCATTGTCTTTAATACAAATGATATTAGGGGAGGGATGAATTAAACCGAAAACTTCAGGTGGAAAGATAAATACTATTAACCAATTCAGCTACAAGCTCTTTTTTTAAAATCAAACTTTAAGGTTTAAGCTAATTCTCATCATCAGATGCTCATACTGGTCAGCATTATACGGGGGAATAAACAAGCTTGTATTTTTTGTATTTGAGAAATAAAAAAAATAAAAAAAAGGTTATCCAAATTCCTTTGTAAAGTATGACAATCTGATGATGAGCAATATGCCTTTTCCTTATGATTATTTTATAAACTTATCTGTTTCCACAAGAATATTAGCGTGTAAAGATAGGCCAACATTGCTAATTATTGAGGGAATAAAAAAGGTTTTTATATTTGTTGCCCCATCAATTTCAACTACCCCTACCACATTAATATTTTTCAAATGTTTCATTTTCATAAATTTGTATTGATATAATTAAATAATATTGGGTCCAAAATTTTGAACAAAAATGGTGGTCCCCTGCAGTCACAAGTGGAGCTTAAAGACATCAACTCGTGATTGTTTACAGCCTGGTTTTCTTCTGGTGGAGCCTGTACCATAATTGAGTATGCATGACTATGGTATGGACCCATCAACACCGAAAAGCTTCTAAAATGTTAACTATATTACCCAACCTTTCATGTGTAAGCCTTTTCTTTTCCTATCAAAAAAGTCTTCTCTCTTTACTTTTTTTTTTTTTTTTTTCAAACAAAAGATGCAAATGTGTTTTGTAGTGCGCCATTCTGAATGGTAAAGATTACTCCATGGATATGAAAAAAGTACAGTGAGAGTTTTGAGTCCCCTTGGTTAAGATGTTCATACGAATTTATTGTTACATGTCCAACATTTCTGCAAGAGTTACAGATGATAAATTAGCTCTTGATTTAGGGATATTTCTTTTCGCAGTACGAAAAGAACTGCCACAATTCAAGACCATTTGTTCCAATCTCAAAATTAACCAACGTTTTGCTTCACATGCCAACCCACCGTCGAACGAACAAGTCAAAACCATGAATCAAATTATCAAGAAAAAGTAAAGATCTACCAGGACAAAGCCATGGGTTGTTGGCCTGAGCTTCAGCCTGTGAGAGTCCGTTTTGGTTAAATGATGATTAAACAAAAATAATTATATATATATATATATGTATTACATGTATCTTATTCTATTTGTATAGAATGATTCTTGAATGGGTAGTTAGGTGTCAACAAGGCATGCTAGTAGCCTTGTCAACGCACCATGAAGAAATTAGAATAAGATTGGAGTCACCACAACGTGTCTTCAAAGTAATTATTTTCTTATCTGTTGTTGACTTGGAGTGCGAGGCCATATTGACATATTACTTGGAGATTAAGTTC